GCTTCCCCAAGCTGTAATTTCAGGCTCGCCCAGATAAATCACCTTGTCCAGGTACCCTTTGATAGCATTTGCAGGATTACCTTCACCACTGGGGAACATATTTCCATACTGATTTAATGAAAGCCGAGATTCTGGAGTCAGCAGGAGCCAGAGCCTCATAGACGGCTCCTAATCCAGGAAATTGGATGTGGTTGGAAATGTTTCAGCAGGCAAAACTTGGGAGATCTTGCTGTGGCTCATTCCTGATGCGAGGCTCTGTGTCCATGAGATAATAAATCTGAGTTTAGCGCACCTAATCCTGAATTTAAATTACCACAACCCACATAACACAAAATGGCTGAACAGGTAAAAAGACACTCTCCCAGTGGAATCATGGAAAGAGTAATTGCAGCCAAAACAGACTTTTGCCAGCTGGAGAGCAACGTATACAGGTGGACTTTGGTCACGTAGTCTACAGGCTTTTCAGCCAGGCCCTTTCCCAATCCTCCAAGGTCATGACTCGCTATGCCCTATCGCTGCATCCCTCACAAGCAGATTTGGGGGCAGATCTTCCCTCTTGTGCTTCAGACAGTTGCCTGACTGGGCTATTTCTCTGGTGGCTGCCAAACCACCTTGGTTAGAGCCACTCAACAGCTCAGCCCAGCAGCTCAGCTCAACCCCACAGCGTGCAGTAGCTGGACGCCAGCCCTCAGCACTCAAGACCAGTCTGGGTATGCTGAGGCGTACCAGTGCCTATCAGCTAGACCAGGAGGCAAGGCTTCAAAGCTACTCACAGTGATGAAACTCACCCTTAGCAATCACGTTTCCCCCTTCAACCTAAGCTGAATTACAGCTTGGAGGTTGGGAGGGGTGAGGATGTCCATGAGGAAAGCTGGGAGCTCAAGAAACCATGCCATCTCAGCATGGAGAGACCAGCACGGGCTCTTTGGGTATCAAGGTGAGTGCAGGAAGGAGGCTGAGGCCCTGGGAGAAGAGCTACAACAAAAATCATGGGCAGCCCTAGCAACAGATGGGGGTCTGTGGTCCCTTCTACAGGAATGATGGGTCACAGCCAGCGTCGGGGGATGAGCTCAGGCCCTGAAGGCAGCAGCAGTTCTTTGAGGACTGTCTGGGATTGCTCACGTTACAAGGGCAATTTGCAGTTTTCAAGGAGGAGTGAGCAGACAGGGACATTGTGCAAGGAAAGGCTAGTGTGAGGGCAGCAGGTTGCTACCAGGAGCCAGGCTGCCCCTGAAGCACAGGCCACAGAGGAGGTGCCTAGGGTCAGGACCTGAGCAGGATGCCTAACCCTTAGCACAGGACATGCTTGGTGGGGTCTGCTGTGATTTCTGGCCTTGCACACATGTGCTGGCTGTGAATTTGGCCTGCCCCTGCCATGGCAGCTGGCTCTGCTGGTGCCGTCCTGTCTGGGACAAAGGATCCCAGTTTGGAGAATGCAGGTGCAGATGCAAACACCACCTGCCTCACCCTCATAACCAGAGATGAGGCACTGCTGAAGTAATATCCCACAGACATTACTCCCTTCTCCACACTTGCAGCTCCCTCTGGCCAAGAGTTTGACATGACCAAGGACACTGTTGGCAGCAACAGCATCAAGTCCACTTGCTCCCTTTGGCTTGGACCAAAAGAAGATCTTTTGCTTCCCAAGGTACGGTGCAGATCAGTGTCTCTCCCTGTAGTACAAAGTAAGGATTTGCAGTGTGATGCAGGAGAGCTCTCCTGGTGAGGAAGAGTCTGGCTGGAAGGGTGGAGGAGAAGAGCCCTCTCCCACTGCTGAGTTCCCACACAGCAGGATAAGCCCATGCCACCGAAGTCTGCTGTGATCTGTTCTCATCTTCCTCAGCTTCATCCTTTGAAGACTGGATGAGCTGTTAACCTGCTGGCACATCCCCTAGCTGGCTGACCCACCAGACATTGATAAGGAATGAGGTAATGGGAGGTGAGGTTTGCCAGCTCTAAGCAGCCTGGCTCTGTCCTTATTGACCTACAGTGGGTCTTCCTACACCAGATTGTTCCTGAAAATAACAGGCAAACATCTCTGCATCTTCAGGGTGGTGGAGCAGGTATCAGTGCGGCTGGGGATACCACCCTGTCTGGTGTGCCGTCATGGTGAGCAGAGACCTTCCCTTCCCTGAATTCAGCCATCACTTGTGAGGACACTGATCCTGGAGTTTTAGATTTTGTCACCTCATCGTGGTGGCTCCAATCCAGAGGTAGGAAGGGAGACGTGGCATTGTACTGATGAAGGTAGCCCATGGTCTACAGGCAATGGGACACCCCTTGGGCCCCTGTCGTGCTAATGCCATTTAATTCAAGGATCCTAGAAAGCCAGCGGAGACACCTGGACTTTCAACAGACAAACATGGGCTGCATGAGGTAGACTCAAGTCTGAAGGCTGAATTTCCTTGATGGGAATAGCCCTTCCAGCATCTCCTCTGGGATGGAATCCTCTCCCTCGTTATCACCTGTTATCCATGAGCTGGTCTCTAATCTTCTCAGCAGCATTTGGAGGAAAGTGCCTTGATGGGTGTGACTCGAGGAGCTGGTGGCTGTTAAGGCTGGGTTACAGCGCCCAGCTGCCCGAAATGCTGCAGGAAACACAGAACCTAACCCTGACCTTTTAAATGGCCTCCCCATCTCCAGCTCTATGTGACACATTTGCTTTCCCTGTCCACCATTTCTTGCATGGGAACAGTCCCTCCTAGTCTGATCCCTGCAACCTGCTAGACCGTGGCTCCAGCAGCAGCTCATCTCCTTGGAGAGATGTCTGGGGTCCTTTGCAGGAGTCTGGTCTCATAAAATCTCGCAGTTGAAAAGAATTTATTTAATTACACACACATCCCGAGCAGGGGAAGCTGGCTGCAGGTACTTTTTCTCCTGCTGGTACAGAGGAGGACTCCTTTTCCTGTACCACATGGAAGTGATCAGGCTCAAGGGTGGCACCCTGAGGCAGGTTTCCAGCGGGGGAAAGAGGGAGCGGGCATGTCAGAGCAGAGAAGCCCACTTTGGCCTTTACTGCAGCCCCCTTGTGTTGCAGGGGGTCAGTGACCCGGCCGAAGGCTGGAGCCTTTCCAGGCCCTCCCCAGCTCAGGCAGGCAGGAGCGCCTCTCTGCTACCGCTGCTGGCATCGATGGCACCAACGGGAAACACTGAGGAGTGACAGCCTCTGGGGTTGTGCTTTACGGGGGTAAGAGGTATGGGGACCCATCACGTCCCCAGGAGATGGGGAACTGATGGTCCTCATAGAAAGGGAAGTAGAAAGTGTTCCAGCAAGTTTCAGTTCTGGGCCTCTTAAGGAAATCACAGAGCGTCTTGTGATTTAGAGACAAATATGCAAGACAAGGGGAGCTTTAAGCCACAGGCTTGGCCCACTGCCTGAATTTTTTCCTTCTTCTTTCAGTGTAATTACAGTTGAGCCATCTAGTAATTGGGTAACTTTTTCCAAAGGAATCCTTTCACCCGGAGTGAATCATACTTGCCACAAAAAGAACATGGAGGTAGACAAAAGACATATAGATACTACAGCTTATTGTGATAGAGCGTTTTGCCCCCCTTCCCTTGTTCCTCAGCCCCCCAGGCGTGCCCAGGGTGGGTGCAAGAGCCAGGCACTGAGCTTTCCCAGATAATTCCTCTTCACCCCTCCAAGATGGCTTCCTCCTGGCTTGCTGTGCCCTATAGCTAAGACGAACTGCATGGTTTTGAGAGTGTCTAGGGGTTCTGCAGAATAAGGGCTATTTCCCCTCCTTTGGTTCCTGTACCTACAAGAGTGGGTGATAAGGGCTGGGTCAGCAGCTCGGCAACCTTTGGGGTCAGCAAGGCTTGATAGTGCAGCTGGGAGACCCTGGACCCAGCTTCAGTCCTCTGCTCCTGGGGTTCAACCTGGACCACAAACGAGTTTCCGAGGTACAGTGTGCGCTCAGTGGTATTTCTTCTGCCCCTGATTTAGCCGGAGCCGAAGAGCCCAGCCCTCCTCCCAGACCCTTCCTGCCAAGTCTCAATCCCTCCAACCATTTTCCATGTGGGATAAAAACCTTGGATAGTAAAACACTCATTGTAAAACTATTTTCCATTGGCTTCATGGCCACAGGCAGCTGGTTTTCCTCCTGGAGCTGCAGGCAGCCTGCTTGGAAGGGTTGGGTTTAGCATCCTGGAGAGGAGCCTGGGTGAGTGTGGGAGGAGGCAGCTCTGCCTGACAGGCCCTCCCTCCCCCTCAAAACCAACCTCTCCCACCCTCTTCTCCATCTGATTGGCGGGTGGGGTGGAGAAGGGCTGGGACAACTCAGCTCTCCATCTATTTAAAGGCAAGGGTGGGGTGCCTACAGCTACTTGCCTGGGACTGTTGCACCTTGGTGGAGAGGAGCACTCGCCTGCAGAGGAGCATCATGTCTTGCGTGAGTAGAGAAAGGGACGGGGCAGCTGAGGGGTGGCTTTGCTGGAGGTGGTGCTTCATGGAGTGGGGCTGTGGGGAATGTGTTGGCTTGGTGTGAGGGTGCTTGCACTATCCACTTCCATCTGCTCATTGGCCCTGGTGTCAGAGGGTCTGCTAGAGCCGGGTGCCTGCTGCTGGGGAGGCAGGATCCCTGCTGCATCCATTACAGAGAGGTGGCTGCTATTTCTTGTTCTGGCAGGACTGTTGTTTTGGGTTTTTTGTTTGTTTTTTTTTCCCCTGCAGGATCTCTCTGGGGAGGTATGTGGGGGGTCCTTGAGGCATTGGCTCCTGAGCTGGGGTAAACCTGTTTTACAGCAGCTCTGCTCTGGGGAAGCAGCTGCAGTAATGTTTATTGCTCTCTGAGCATCTCCTCTTCTGGGCAGTCTTGCTGCTTGCTTCCTGGCTGAAGTTTTCATGAGTCACTGAATCGTTATCTCTCTCTTTCTTGTAAGGAAATGTGCTATGCAGAACTCTGCTTCTGTGAGTGTCAAGGACAGCCGGGGAGATGCTTGTGTCAGAAGAGTGATTGTACTTCTTTAATTAATCTTCCATTAAACTGAGGGTGTTTAATCAGGGAGTATCCCAAGTAGAGGCTTATTTACTAAAGTGGGATGGGAGAAGGAGTCTTAGTATTCTTGGGGTCTTGCCTCTGGTGGGACTGAAAATGAATACATATGGGTTTACCAGGGTATTTTGGTTCTCCTAGAGAGAAGGTGGGGAAAGGTGTGTGCATGTAGCAGGAGAATGCTCTTGCAAATGCTGAACATACAAAAAAAAAAAGAAACCCACCAAGCCCTTGGGAGCTGGGGACCAAAGTGTCTGAGACCCTGGACTTAGGCAAGACTTGAACTTCAAATCTAAGCCAGTGGAAGGGAGGGGAGGCTCCGTCCCTGCACAGACAAGCTTGTGTGTGATGATATGAGACCCACAAGGCCCATGAGTGCGTTTGAGATGGGGTGGGTGTGATGGGAGCTTGTGGGTACTTATGTGTTGCTGCTGTGAAATACAGATATGTTGATGAGAGCAGCAGGAGAAAGGTTGGGAAATCAGGCACTTCTCATGTGACTGGAGTAACTTCTCTGGGATGTCCCTGGTGCGATGCCCTACGGGAAGGGAGCTTCCCTGTCTCTCCAGCAGTCCAAAGCAATGCACTGTCTTGCAAGGCAGCAGGGAGAGCTGCCAAGTCAGAGCAAGTGAGCCAGCAGGTACTGAGCTAACATCTCTGCCTCTGTGTTCCCCAGGGACCAGTATGCACCAACCTGGGTCTCAAGCCTGGCCAGCGCCTCACTGTCAAGGGGAAAATTGCACCAAGTGCCAAGAGGTAAGCTGTGCTGTGCTGCTTGGGCATGGCCGAGGCACTAAACTGAGTTGTCTTCTGCTGGTGGGGGACAGAAGGAATCCTTCCCTTGGGTGGGAGAGGAGCAGCTTTGGAAGGGGTTAACACCAGCAGTGCTTCCCAGTGAGTCATTGCCTAATGCACTTTGCAGACGCAAGCTGCTGCCAAGGGTCTAAGCCAAAGCAGATGTGAAGCTCCAGCTGCATGCACTGGCAGTGACCACATCCTCTCTAGTGCAGTGTAAAGGAGGTGGAAGCCATGTCTATACTGAGATTTGGGTTGAGACCATCCCTGCAACCACATCCTCTCACCTGCACAAAGATGACCCAGGAATAGGAACACTATTACAGTGCCTTGCTTCACTGGGCAGGAGGAGATTGTACCCAAGCAGCTGGAAGGTCTTGGATGCTGTGAGCCACATATCCAGCTAATGGTGCAAATGGAAAGGCTGCATGTTGCAGCAGGGGGGCTCGAGCTGTTGAAGTTTGCTTTCACCCAGTGGAGATGCCTGCCGGGTGCTAGGGGGAAGGTGGTGAGTGAACAGGTGGGAGTAAGTAGAAATGTGCCCCTAACTCTGCTGGGTTCAGGGTGGCTGGGGTGCCCAGGGCAGCCTCTGCAACAGCCCTTGTATAGGTCTGTGGCTGGTGGGGCCTTGTGGTGGATAAGGTGGAGCCTGTAGCTGCTGTACCAGGACTAGTGGTGTTCCAGGAAACATGTCCCAGCTCTTCCCAGTGCCTTTGAAGTTTGATAGCGTCAGAGTGAAGCCTCCTGGGCTTTCTCTTGCCAAATAATATGCCTCTTCTCATCTGGGTAAGAGGCCTGAAGGCAAGGTGGACACTGGGCTAGGAAGCTTCTTCTTCCCATTGCCATTGCAGATGCTTTGGGCTAGCTAATGACATGGTAATTATTTTGGCTGCCTGCAGGGTGGGGAGAAGGCAGCTGGCTGTCAGGCAGGGTGCAGCACCAGCTAACTGTTTGGGGTTGGAAGGAAAGCTGTGAAAAGCAACTGACTCCTTGGGAGCTGGTTTGGGTGCAGGATAAAAGCAAGGTTCAGCGCTTAGCTCTGAAGGGAGTTGTTTCCACAAAGTTTTTAACTAAGTGGTGACTCTCCCAGGGATGGCACTGTGGGGCCTACCACCCCAGCAGAGGAGAGCACCCCTTACAGATACAGCACCATCTTTTTAGGGAAGCTGTGCAGTTTAGCAAAGGGTTTCTCTTTGGTTACTGTCAGCTGGGCTTGAAGCAACAGACCCAGGAATGTTCAAGGTAATGAGCAACATGCTTCCATAGTATTGTTCATAACAGTATCAATGTCTTTTTCTGCAGCTTTGTGATGAACCTGGGGAAGGATGCTTCCAACCTTGGGCTTCACTTCAACCCCCGTTTTGATGCTCATGGTGATGTGAACACCATCGTGTGCAACTCAAAGAAGGTGGAAGAGTGGGGTGCAGAGCAGAGGGAGACTGTCTTCCCTTTCCAGAAGGGGGGCACAGCAGAGGTGAGGCCTGGGATGCACTCTCTGTACCTGCCCTGGTGACGGGAGGATGTTTGGGCACAGGGCATCCAAATGTAGGGGCTGTCTCAGGACTGTGTACAGGAGGCAGCTGACTTCTGCTTGGCCAGTGCCACCACCCAGGGCTCTGAGCAGTGATGGAGGGTGGGGATCAACTGTGCAAGCTTCGGCTAGCTCAAAGGGATGTTACCATTGAACTGAGCAGGGAATAAGCATCTCTTGGAGACCAGAATAACACTCCTGCTGCTGAAGAGCAGGTTATGCTGCTGAACATGTTTACCCTGCAAAGCAGAGGGTGGCACAGCAATGTGGTGAAGGGGAAAGGCTTGAGGGTATCAAACTAGGTGGAAACTTTCTTTGACTTTTTCCATTTGTCTTGCAGATCACTTTCGTCGTCAACCAAAATGATCTGACAGTCCACCTGCCAGGCCACCAGTTCACATTCCCTAACCGGCTTGGTCTCCCTGTCTTTGACTACTTTGATACACAAGGGGACTTCACAGTCCAGTCCATCAGCTGGGAATAACTTCTTCTGACACCTCTATCTCAAAGATACATAAAATGATCAATAAATAAGAGTTTTGGTCTACCCAGCCTCAAAATCTAATCTGTTTCATACTGCAAGTCCACATGGGTTTGTCATCTTGCTGGAGGGGTGGGGGAGGAAGGTAGCCAACTCTGCTGGAGTGTGTGTGGCATTGTGCCAGCCTTGGCCCTTAAAGTCATGGATGGAGAGGAAGGTGAGGGGCAAGAGCCTGGGAAGGCAGAAGGTGAAAAGTCCAAGGAGAGCCTCAGGAGGAAACACTGGGACTAGATGTGACTAGAGGGGGGAGTTGAAGGGTCCCTTGGGCAAAGTTGCCCACTCTTGAGGTCTAGACTGACATCTTACCCTGCCTCGGTAAAGTGAGTTGATGAAATCTATTTCTCCCTACACTAAGCATCCCTGGCTGGCCTCAGACAGCCAGGAGTTATTGTGATGGGTAAACCTATTGGGGCATGGAGTGAGGGGAAAGTCCTCAGCTGTGCTAGCTTTGGCCTGCACCCCTCTGTAGAGGCTGGTCCTGCTCATGACATGGCTCTTCTATGTCGTCTTGGGACCCCTTGCTGCTGCATGGGGACTAGCAGTAGAGAATGATGACTTGCTAGGTGTGGTGGAACATGCAGTGGGGTTCCTCATCCAGATCTGTTCTTCCAATAACTGTAGAAGCACAAATATTGTTAAGCCATAGCTCATGTGGCACATGAGGGCAGTAACCTGGAGGGGTCTGGTTTTATTCTGCTCTATATGCCTTGCCTCATCCATTCAGAGCTGGGGGAGGTTGCAATGCCTGGCTGGCGTGCGAGATGCTAAGCATGTGTACATTATGTGTTCATTACCCCTTCACTTGTATTAGCCCAAATGAGCCTAAGCACTTCTGAGGCTAGCCTCTGAGGAGGCTGAAGATGATGAGGCATGTTTGATGTTACAGCATAGTTCTCACTGGGCTGTGGATTGTTACTCAAGGTGTCAGCCAGCAGCTGCCTTGGAGGGCTCTGCCAGTCTAATGCTACTTCAGTGGCAATGACTACTGCTGTTGGGCAGGCTGTGCCTGCTGGGCATAGGAAAGGTGGGAGCTGCCCTTTCCACAATGCACAGCAGTTACCAGGTAGGGCTGGGATGGAAGGACCCAATCTTTGGGTTCTCTCTTCCAGGCTTGGCCATGAGCAACATGAAGCACAAACAAATTGATGTCCTACAAGGACTCCCTGCAGGCCTGGCTGGCCCAGTTCTTCCCATTGAGCAGTTGCAGAGGATCTGGAGCACAGGAACTGGCTCCTATGACAGCAGCACCTCCCAGTCTTGCTCCATAATTCATGAGACTCTGCCAGGTCCTGTGTCTCAAGTACCCATGAAGAGGGAGGCTTGGCTGCTAGGAATTGGGGGCCTGAGGAAGAAGAGAGAGACGAGTTGGAGACAAGGGCTCAAGAGCTTTTGAGCTGGGAGGCAGGAACACTTAAGGTTTATGAGCAACTTGAGGCTCTGCAGCTGATCTCTCTTGAAGCCCTGCGTTGTCCAAAGCCAGTCTGCTCTGGATGATCACATCCTGTTCTTTAGGGCTACATCTATAATAGTAAATACAATGTCTAACATTGCTACCCTGTGCATAGGTATGGCTGGGGATAGTGTAGCTTGAGGACATTTCCCATGATGTGATGTGGATGAGGCCATCCTTTCTGGGGATAAGAAGAGAGTTTAGCCATATGGAAGTGAGCCATGCTAGGCTAGATGGCCTCAAGACAAGAGACCTGGCCCAGTTTATGCAGCGGTGTTGGCACAGTCTGGCAGACTGGGGTACATTTGGTAGGCTGGAGAGTTGGAGATTTCCTCAACCACAGCAGAGGGCCCCCTCCACAAGCTGTGATGATGGACATGTAGGGGAGCTCTCTCCTTGCAGCTTCCTCTGCTGGGCTGATCTTGAAAGCTGAGCAGATGCGCTGACCTTTGCAAGCTGTACTTTGGGGCAATCTCACAGTGTCTCTTAACTGCACTTGGAAGTCTTTTTTCAGAAAGAATCTTCAAAGATTTTTTTTTGTGGAGGATGGGAGAAGAAGCCCGAGTGTGAGGCATCCACAAGAGGATGAACTTTATTCAGGTCTCCTGCTAGCGTGGCGGCTTCTTGAAGTGACTCACTGGTCCTGTGAAATCTGTGACTCACTGTTGTCCTGACTTTGTTATGGCTTGGCCCGTTGCTAGCAAGGAGCGAGGGGTGGCGAAGGCTCCTCAATGGTATAATTTAGATGTATTGAGGTTGACTGCTCCCTTCCACCCACTCCTCTGCCTTGCACAAGGTGAAGGCCAACGTGTGAGGTCTGAAGGAAGCTGAGGACAGAGTCAGGGTCCCCAAGACAAGTGTCTTCCACCCAGCTGAGGAGGGTGAGCGGCCTCGCAAAGGGAAAGTCATGAAGGGGAAGGCACCGCGACAATGACGATGGAAGACACTGCACACCAGCATGGAGAGTGATGCATTTTTATTTCTTGACTCAACCCCCAGCCAAAGGCTGGGAGATGTTCCCAACCTGGGGTGCTGCTCACCCCTCGCTTTCCCCCCCAGACCCCGATGACTCCCTGAAAG